GGCATGCAGTATTAATTTTAAAAAGTCTTAAATTAGATTTTAAAAACTCTGGAGAAAGGCTGTACAACTGTCTATTGTTATATACCTGTACATACAATTGTCGATTTGTATATTTTTTATTCCTTATTTTACTTGTTCTATTTTTTATTTATTTTTATTTCTTATTATCTGTGTTCTTTTGTTCTGTCACTGTCATTCTGTTACACTGTGGAAGCTTCTGTCACGAAAACAAATTCCTCGTATGTGTAAACATACCTGGCAACAAAGCTCATTCTGATTCTGATAACTACACCAAACACATCATTAATTTGATTAGTAATTTACACCCAAAGATAACAATACACTCAAAAAAATAAAAAATAATTACGCTCATTTGTGAATGGTGCTTTTAGAACTTTATGCTTTTTGACCACACTTGAAGGCACATATTTTCAGTCCTGTTTTTTCATTTCACATATATAGTTCATTTTGGAAGAGCAGTGGGCGTCATTTAGCAGCCCGTATATTGTAATGTGCACACAGTCCTCTCCTTCCTCTCCCAGGCCATGTTGTTTCCAGTCATCTGGCTGCCCAGGGCTCCATTGCCTGTAAAATTGAAATTCAAAACCTGTTACACTATTCATTTATAGTTCTTGTATTATGTTATATGCTATATGCAACCCAACCTGACCTGGGTCATGTCCGATCTACTTTATTTGGTCATGAATGTGAGTTCTCTATCGGACTGTACTTACCAAAAAGGGAACCAAAAATCCAGTTTTCTATATATTCAACTCACACTTTATTCATGGTGTAAGGAGCGTCATCCGCCCATCTCCACCGGCCTGTGTTCTGGTCCGTTAGACCAATCCAGTATTCTTGTGGTTTGGCTGTACTGGTAACAAATTCCTAGTAAGGGAGATAAAAGTATCACTGAAAGACTGAATGGAAGGTTTTAAGGGAAAAGTGTGTGTTTGTGTCTGTTACGCACCCACTCCCTCTCAGAGCCAGCTTCTATTTTTAGGAGTAACGCGCCCTTCTCTTCACAGTAATTTTTTGCTTTGGTCCAGTTCATTGCGTCATGTGAGAACAGGTAACAGCTGTTTCTGAACGGGATCCAATCAGGTTCAGTACATCCTGGTGTAAGTAAGTCTGTAAGAGAACCAGCGAATGAAAGAGACATGAGAACAATTCATTGAAATCAACCGAATTTTCATTTTGGTGAACCTCCCCTATAAACCCTATTTGTGAGTGCTGAATATTATATTACCCCTACTTATTTATTTTGACCACCATAACAATGGTTATTCTGATAAATGACAGCATTAGCAGGTGCATATATTTGAGCACAATGGAATTTAGAGTTTACTCACTGGTAAATGATAGTTTATAAGAAAGAGATTGAATTGATGATTTCACTTCCAACATTAAAGCCTTCAGATCCGTCAGTGATTTTGACATATCCACTTTAGTTGGGGATAAAAAAAAAAAAAATGGCATGATTACCTCTAATATAGGAAAAACACAATTCTATAAACAGAATGATTCATAAATATAAAAAAAAAATTAAATATTTAATAACATTTATATTTTATATGTTTGCTGTCTTACCCAAGAAACGTTGTGTGCGTGAAATTGACCTTGAACTGTCTTTCTGTCAGTTTATTCCTGAGGGCCGCTAGTGCAGAACTCAAACTGTCCATCAAACTCTTGACTTCAGTGTGTGACACATCCTGCTGGCGCTCTGAAGGAGAAAAAAGAGAGAACGTTTCATCATTAGGCCAGTTAATAAACCGCTTCAAACCCTTGAAATGTTGTTTTATGTTTGAGGATTCAAAGCTGAAAAGTACGTCCAGTGCTCACCCAGCTTTTGTAGGTTTTCTTCTTGTTTGGATGCGAGTGAACTCAGTGACGAGCCAAGAGCGGTCATCAGGGTCTCAATATTAGACAACTTCTTTATTTGCATTTCTTATGCATATAGAGACAGATAATAAGGAAACAATCAACGCTTTTTATGCACATATCATATCTTCGACTATTTTCAGGGTCAGAAGTCAAAGAGGAAAGGGATAGTTAGCCATCGTGCTCTGTTGAGATTGACTTTTCTGTCAGAGTCAGAAACTTGAATCATGCAAAAATTCATTGCATTAAATATTTTCCCCCAAACAAGCATTAGAAATGTGACATTTTTCATGGAGGACATTTGAAAAGTGTTATGTTGAAACTTTATGATGAATTTAAGATCAAAATATTACCAGACAATGATGATGAAGTTCTCACCCGTGTTCTGAAAATCAGATTTGACTGAGGTTAGATCAGAAGTGTGGCTTTTCATCCAACTCTCCAGCGTTGAGAACTTTCGTTCTTGATGGGAATCTTTCAACCAAAGTAAACATAATTACTGACTAGTACCGGATAGTTAATTGAGCAGTGTTTAGACTATTCTATAACATAAAACCATATTTTATAATAATTAATATAAATGTAGTTTTTATATTTTCATGTCAATTGAGAGATTATATGTAATCATTTTTAAATATTTAAAAAAATATATAAATTTTTTTCTAGCAGCCACCACAGGTCTATTAGGCGAGCTGCTAGAAAATTTGAAAAAATGGTGGAAAAATCATCCATGAAATGAAACATTCATGTGAATGTTATTGTACGCCAAAGACTGTGTCGTGTAATCCACTCACAGATGACAGAAGTCAAGACCATGAAAATAATCATGCAGACTGTTCCCAGAAGCACAAGGATGCCAGTTTGTCTCCTGCATGGAAGACCTGCAGAGAACAAAAACATACCCTTGATTCATTTATAGTCCTATGTTTTAAATCATGCATGCAACACAATGTTGAGAATTAATTCTTTATTTTATAAGGTTTTAAAATAATCTCAAAAAGCCTTATTTCACTTTTGCACAAATTAAGACCTTAGAGGAATAGTTCACCCAAAAAAGAAAACTTGCTGAAAATGTGCTCAACCTCAGGCCAATCCAAGAAGTAGATGAGTTTGTTTCTTCTGATGAAGAAGCCCATTGACAGACATTTGTTCTTGTTTTAATCATAAATTTGCTTCATTTGTATCAGTTTCTCAGAAAACTAAATGACTTATATGTCATTTTGCTTCTCATTTGCACTGGAAAACAAGACAAAAATAGTGAGGAAGAACAAGTTTTACAGTGTGATCAGAAATTACAGTAAAAGCTATTTCAGTATTCTAGTGATTGGGAGCAGAGCTGTTCAAGCCATTAGCTAGTATTTATTTATTTATTTGGAAAATGAATTAAAAAAAGAAGAGATATGTTGGAAGTTGCCAATACAACTCATTATGTACTCCCTACACATTTACATTCAGAGAACATATTGATGTGTTGTGTTGTGTTTCATTTATTCCTTACATTTTCAGTACTTGGTCATAAAAAAGGTCTTCAAAGGTTTTACATTTACCTTCATAAAACCTGTTTTAAGTCGTTTAAATTATTTAATTTTTTACAGGCGGTATGTATAAGCAATAATGTTAATGATGCATGCATCAGCACAAAGCATTCGTAACTTTAATTAGCACATGAATGTGATTAACAGTTGAAGTTCACCATTTACAAATTTGGGATGATATAAATAAATATACACAAATATTTCAAACCGCTCTGAAATGATTTCCTTGGTTCACATTCCATCTCCATTTTACTGTATTCTTCAGTGTAATTCATTTCCTTTTTCTGAGACAGTAAGAAGCTGCTTGTAGTTAGGATTCTGTAGATTTGAGTTCTTCATAAAGTGGAACTGAATGTTTATAAGCAGCATGACTACTATTATAAAGGAGGTGTGTTCTGAATTTGGTCTTGGAGGATTGTTATTGAGACACACTAAAAACCTTTTTTTCACCCCATATGAATTTTCTTCATGACAAGTCTTATGACCAATATGTCATTTCTACACTGTAGGCCAAGGGTCGGCAACCGTTTGGGCATGAATTGACATTTTTTCTGGTTAGCCACTGTGCCAATAAGCTCCCCCTTTTTAAATACATGCTGTGTTTATACAGTACATAAACATTTTTAAATGTTCAGATAAACATCTGCATTTGATTCTCATACAAATATTGCAGAATCTTAAATAAGTTTGAAATATTTTTTTCATCATTTTTTTAAACTTCTCAAAATCCTAAAAGTTTACTTTAATGTTTAAATTAGACTTTGAACATCAGATTTACAGTGTGACCCTGCTGTATGCGTGTGAGGGATGTTGCATGTGCTGAGCTTGCACTTTGTAAAAATATGAACTTGGGAAGAGAGCGTAATTCATGCCCAAAACATGACCTAGAACTGTGATCAGGTCTGCCCTGAATGATCCAGCATCTTGCTTTTTAGGACTTGTGCATTAAAATACTAATCAGCAGGCCTCTTTTTAAACTGATGAGTGGCTGTCAAACTAATGCATCTAATATTGGGAGCTGTATATATGATTCCATTCAAAGCTTAAGGAATATTCCAAGTTAAATATTATTCTCTCCCCCTCTAGATTACTGCATTGCTCTATTTCACAACCGTTTACACAGAACAAACTACAGGCATGCAGGAATTCATTCACCTAGTGGACAGTTTACCTCTAAAAGGTCAATTTAAAATAAAAGATATGGATCCAATAAACTGGCTTTTTAAATTCATCCAAGCGACCGATTTTTTAGCCCCTCTGCAATGCTAAGAGTTTACTTCCATTGCAAGTGCTTTACTGAAAACATGATTTTGTTGTTGTTTTTAAATGAGATATATAAATCACTATAATTTAATAAAAAATTGTATATAACATTTAATTATTTAAAAACCAATACAGCACACAAAAAGGATCCAAATCAAAGTTTTATTGGAAAAAAAAAAAGGCCACAAGCACAAGCTCAATATCTATAACACTTGAGTACGCAGTGACTTTCAACAAAGGACATGCGTTCACTTCAGGTGCAGCACTACTGTAATACATATGAGCGAACAGGAGAAGACAGTAAGGGCAACTTCTAAGAAAGGATTAAAATGGAAAGAATAAAACTGGAGCTCTAAAAGAAGTCCACATCATCTGGAGCGTCTAAATCGCGATATTCAATGATATTTCGAGGATCCCCACGCATCATTCTGGAAAAGACAGCGACATTTTATTAGATTTAGTCTATTATCACCCTTGAAAGAGCTTCTAAAACTATCACTTCCGTTCCCTAACTGCAATTAAAATAAAACTGAAATACAAAGAAATTCACCGGTTGTTTCTAGGTTTTCCAGGGTAACCACCTTGTCCACGGAAGTTGTCGTAGTTGCCCCTGCCGCCTCCACCATACTGGTTGGGTGGGTAAGGAGGACCCCCTGTTAAAGTGTCAAAGAAACGCCTCTAAAATATGTTTTACAGATGCACCACAATGATTCGACTTAAAAAAAAAATAATAATAATTTCAATGACTTTACTTGGCCTGAAAACTAGAATATATAAATGCCTGAAATTTTCAGTTTGGTATGACCATGAGAAATTTCAAAGCTTAGATCATTTTGAAAAAAGGAAAAGGCTAGATATATCAATGTTTTATGGTTGCACCCTTGTTGAAAAACTGCGATGCAAATCACATCACGACTTCCTGAAAATGCCAAAGCTTCAAGCCCATTTTCACTCTGACTTTACTACTTTAACAAACACACACCTCCATAACCCATAACTGGAGGTCTGGGCTGGCCAAAACCCATGAGACCCTGAGGACCCTGAGGTGGGAACGGAAGACCTCCAGGTGAAAGCACTCCTAACAAGAGAAAGAAAATTTTGAAAAGTTTCAGATAATGCGATTTTTCTTCCGATATACAGTGGGTGTAGAAAAGAATCATCCCCTTTAAAATAATCACATTTTGTTGCTTTGCAGCCTGAAATGAAGACAGACACAGTTTTATCCAGCTGCATTTACTCAGTGCAACTTATAACATCCAAGTGAAAGATATAACACCAACATGTCAGAAAAAAAGGATCAGCCCCCTCCTAAAAATGACTTGTAAACTCAATCAGGTGCAGCTCATCACCTTCTCAATGGCACACAAAGCCATCTGACTTTCGACTGTGATCAGCTGTGCTCATTTTGATCAGCTCAGCATGAAAAGAGCTTTCCTGCAGCATTTCAGTCCTTGGTAGTGCAACTGAAGCAAACAATATAGTATGGGTGGCAAGACACTGTCAACCTGGATCAGGACGTCGCTCCAAACTGGATGAAAGAGCCGGAGGAAGCTGATCAGAGAGGCGACCAAGAGTTTCAGGAATTTATGACAAAGAGTGGTCATTGTGTGCATGTGACAACAATATCACAATTTCTCCACAAATGTGGCTTGTATGGAAAAAAACTCACTCCTCAAGAAAGGCCACATGCAGTTATGACTGAGCTTTGCCAAAACGCACCTCTGAGGCAGATGAGACTAAAATTGAATTATTTGGCCTCAACATCAAACAATATGTCTGGCAGAAATCTAATACAGCTCATCATCCAAATAACAGCATTACTCCAGTAAATATCCTGTTCTGGGCTGTTTCTCTGCAGCAGGGACTGGAGCACTCGTCAGGGTAGGAGGAAACATGGACGGGGCAAAATACCGTCAAATTCTTGAGGAAAATTTGCTGCCCTCAGCCAGAAAGCGGTCAATGAAGGTTTACAGAGGTTGAAGGAGAAAAAGCTGAATGTCCTTGCATGGCCTCGTCAGAGCCCAGACTTAAACCCCACTGAAAATCTGTGGAATGACTTGAAGACTGCAGTCCACAAACACTCACCATCACATTTAACTGAACTTGAGCAGTTCTGCAAAGAAGAGTGGGCGAATAATGCAAAGTCTAGATGTGCAGAGTTAGTAGAAACAAATCCCAGCAGACTAAAGGTTGTAATTAAAGCAAAAGGTGGTTCAACAAAATACTGACACAAGGGGGTGACCCTTTTTTCACCTCAGTGATTCTGCTTTTTAATTTTTTCTGACACGTTGGTGTTATATCTTTCACTTGCACCGAGTAAATACAGCTGGATAAAACAAAAACTGTCCGTCTTCATTTCAGGCTGCAAAGCAACACAATGAGATTATTTCAAAGGGAGTGATTCTTTTCTATGCCCACTGTAAAAATCATCAAGATTGATGTGTGCTTTTTACCCTGTCCTGGGCCTGGAGGAGGTGGAGGTTTCATCTCTGGGATGGAGGGTCTTTTTGCATCCATCAGGAAGTTGTTGAAAAAGACGACCTCTTTCTTTACTTCCTCAATCTTGTCTCCATGTTTGTTTAGAATGTGCTTCCTCACAAACTCTGGGCCCTTGAGAGAGATTCATTTTTTATTGATTTTGTCAAAAATGAACCACCTACCTACACTGGAAAAACTGGTGTATGATTTGCAAGTTTCACTCATGAAATCACTAGTAAATGTCACAAATAATGACAAAGAAATGTCAAGTAACATTCAATTAAACATGACATTGATCAATTAAACATTTTCTTGTAAACTGAACTCCAATGTTTAATTAACGTCGATTAAAATCATTTCTTACAGTTATTACCCGCTTACAGGCTACCTGATGAATAACGGAGCATGTTATATCACACACCTTAAACTTTTTGCCACTCAGAGGACAAAGCCACTTGTCTTTGCCCAGTTCCTGTGTGTTGGCCAGCACAAACTTTTCCAATTCCTGTTCTGGATCTTTGCGGCCCATCTTTGCTGCCTCGTCTTCAGACAGGGTTTCCTTCACACTGAACAAGGATCCCAGCTTCTCTTCGAATGTCTTCTGCCAGTCAGCCACTACAAGAGGGTCAAAAATCAGCAAAATCAGTTCATTTCTGTGTTACATGGGATTACGTAAAAGGTGAAATTTAATTTTTTTGCAATTTGTACGAACACCTAATCTCATCCTAAACTTTTGGCCATCGGTTGAGTCAGAAGTTGACAAATATTCAGACAGAGCCACAGTATTTACACTCTTTAGGAAGTCAACCAACTAATGGCTTGCTCATATAAATCAACTCTACATTAAACAAAGCATTTGAACAAATTAAATCACACTTCAGGAAGTACTGACTCTTGTTAGCAGTATTGGCAGCGCTTACCCTCTCTGTGAGTGATGCGGTTGGGGGGAATGGGTCCTCGCACATGGATAATGCCGCAGCGGTTGGGCATCTCGTCCTCGCTCGGGTACTCGCAGGTGTTGTAATAATCAATAGAGTGTACGATACGCAGATAGAAGAGGAGACGATCCAACACCTGGGAGAAGACAAACACATAACACTCCTGAAGCTCACACTGCAGACGAACACACTTTTCTAAGAGGAGTCAAAGCAGAACCAAACTGAAATAAGACTGAAATTCTCATTTACACTCATCGATCTCACTGACAGTACTGAGGACATGCAAAATATATCAGAACGAGTTTCTGAATCAGTGTAGTTTTTTTAAATCGTGTTGCATTTTAATGACAATTAGGCACAATAATTCTGAAATATGACGACAATGAGAATGAGATTTTCTTTTTGCATTATAGCAATGACAACTTAATTGTCACAAAAATAAATGTCAATGGAAAAAAAAAAAAACTTGCTGATTTGCAAAAAAGGCCTAATATTACCTAATACGATGAATCTGAGTGAAACTATCAAAAAAAATCAAAAATCCACCATGTACAGTTTATCTCCACAAAATAAGTAGAAAGATTTTTCAAATGATGTGTGTATCAGCTGTAATGCACTCAAAATAACAAAAGCAGTCAAATGGCAAAAAGTAGTATTGTTGCTACTGGCAGTTTTGTTGATTAAGGGATACAGGGTTCCTACACATTCCATCTCAAAACTCCATACTTCTCCAGACTCCAAACCTTCCAAACCTCTCAGTAGATTTTCAGACCATATTTAACATAAATGGTTCATAGAGCATTATTTTCAGCTTTATATTTGGTACACAGTACAGTCATCTGTAAATATTTAGATTTTCTCAGGGGTTTATCCATGGATTTTCTCAAAGTGACAACATACAGAGCCTCTATTTAAAAAAAATAAATAAATACTTTTGCACGCATACAAGACACTTTTTGTGCCTTTGAGAAACTATTGACACGAGCATGGGACACTCCATTTTTTGTGTGCGCTTTACACTAGGGCTGTCAAAATGGCTCAAACTAAATTCGAATTTTGTAATTAAATATTATCAATATTCAAATTATAATCGAATTTACAAGGCATAATTTCAGTTAGGGGGGAAAAAAGCTTTTGGCTTCTCTCCTGAGGCCACAAGAGGGCGCATCGAACAAAATATTATGCCCGTTTCTTCAAAGCATAATAAAATAACACTACTATCTTTGAAAAAAAGTGCATTGTGTTTAAAATAATGTTTATAAACCTTATATAATTAAAGTTGCTTAAACAATTAGAAACAAAACAGAATTATGCATGAATGTATAGTTTAATACAAAGGGCCGAAAACCAATCACAAAGAGTACTTTCTTCATTTAAAAACTTGAAATGCAGTGGGATGGGGAAAAACCGCCATAACGTCTTGAGACATGTTTTTAAAAAGTTGAACTTACATTAATTTTACATGGCTTTCTAAACATCTTGTGCGAGACGCGAGTGAGGTGATAGATGTCCCTCTAGAAAATGTGATAAATATGTGTTCTGTGTGAACGGCTTGGTTTCAGTTTTGACGTAAACACCATCATCTCCGCATTTGTTCTTTTTTCCCGCAATATTTTGAATGAACAACGTAGTAGCGCCGCATCTAGTAGGTTCAACTGGATAGACTAACCAAAACATTAAAATGCAAAGACACTTACATCGTTGCATTCCGTGCGCCACTGATAAGGCTGCCTGTCGCACACCTAAAATTCAAATGCAACGGTTTTGCATTCGAATGTGGATTTTTTTTTTAAAATTCGACAAATATTAAAAATTCGAAAAATTTTTTGGACAGCCCTAGCTTACGCATTACAATTTCTAGTTTTATATATACTATAACCCATTTTCTTTGTGCGTCACTGCCATCTTACTGTGAAGAAAATGAAACAACTTGTTAAAAACTTGGGTTTTGTTAGGGCAGTATATAGGTGGCTCAGTGAGTATCGTCCAATTTGCCAAGTTGAATGGTTTCTCGTATGCATATAAAAGTCTGATAATTTCTTATTTTTGCAAGGATCCTTTTAGAGGTTCTGTAATATGGTGCTATAAGAATATCATAAGAAACCCAAAACGCTTATAACCTGCATTTTGCATAATGAAAAAGTGCACTTTGAATTCATTCAGTCGTGTTTGACAACCACTAAACAGCTGCCATGAAAACACACTTGTCTGATAAATTCTCATTAAATTCTTAATTTGCTATTATAGAAAACTAAATGGGGACAAAAGTCTGGAAATGCAAATATTTTTTCCATACTTTTCCAAACTGTGTAGGAACCCTGGGGATAATACAAGACTTCTTCACCCTACAAATGGCTGTCGAAAGCAAAAATGCTACAAAATGCATTATATTTTGTAAGTGTGAGACCTGCTCGAGGAAAACCGATACTATTTTTTTTTTTAAATCGGCAACCTAATATTAGTAAGAAACAAGTATCGGATTTCATTCAATCAATAAGATGCAGGGCGGTGTAATGTATTCCATCATCTGCTGATTTTGGGGTAAAATGATAACGACACTTTTTCTGACCTTGACGAGTTTTTCATCTCTCTCCACAGTTATCTCAGTGGGGTTTCCCTCTTTGGATGCCTCATCAGAATCGGCTCCCCCTGCACTTCCCAGAAGCTCTTCCTCCTCTGCGCTCACTTCCTCAATCAGGTAATCAGTGATGTTCTTCAAAATGGGGTTCTGTGCAGGGAGCTTCAAGAAATAAGAGAAATGGGGAAATAAGCTAAGCAATCACACTTAAAAGCTCAGTGTTAAAATAAATACATATTTGATCAGCCTAAGGTGAGAATACCTCCAGAGCATGTGTTTCTTCTCTGAGTTTGTGGCTCCAAAGCCTCTCCTTGTCATCCAGTGAATGGATCAATTTAGCAGCCAGCTTGATGTCATTACGGAGAACCTGCTTGTGCTGCGTGATTCCGTTTACGTTCCGCACACGACGTGCCAGATCTCGATTGACCCCAGGAGCCAGCTCACAGTCCCGCAGCTGCTCAGAGAGGAACAGGAGAAGAGAGTGAGCGAGACGTTTGCTGCACAGTGTGGTTCCTCAAGCCAGTGATTCTAGAACTCACCCGGATGTTCTGCAGGTTCCAGCAGATCTCTTTGATGTTCACACCTCTGTCGAAGGTCACCCAACAACGCCTGAAAAACCTGAGTCACAGAGATGGAAATTTGAGCTTTTCCCCCACGTCTGCTTTCATGCATTAAAATGATTTAAGGAAACATTTTATACTGGCGCAAATGCAATTACTATGCAAACTTACATTTTACATTTAGCAGACGCTTTTATCCAAAGCGACTTACAAATGAGGGCAATGGAAGCAATCAAAACTAACAAAAGAGCAATGATATGCAAGTGCTATAACAAGTCTCAGTTAGCTTAATGCAGTACACGTAGCAAGTTTTTTTTTTTTTAATCATAATATATACAAAGAAAACGGATCGAATAGAAAAAGAATAGAGCAAGCAAGTGTTGGAGGCCTTTTTTGCTTTTGTAAATCAGAAGTCAGAAAGTCAGAATTATAATTGTATAATAAGTAAAAAGAAAACAAAATAGATAGAATGCAAAAAGATTAGAGAAGCAAGTGTGAGTTTTTTTTATTTTTAATTTTATTAAAGAAAACAAGTAGTTAGTAAATAAATAGAGTGCAAGTCTAAAAGGGGCCAGTTTAAAAAAATTTTTTTTTAATAAAGAATAGAATTAGAATAGAGAGGGCTAGAGTTAGAGGGTCAAATAAAGATGGAAGAGATGCGTTTTAGCCGATTCTTGAAAGAATAATAAGATTTAAATATAATTTTTCTCATTTATTTGTATTAACAAATTTGAGACCTTTTAGACCTAAAACTAAATTTGACACATTAACCCTCTGGTGCTCTTCGTGTGGCAGACAAAAATGTGAAAAAATTTGTATTTCAATTGAATAAAAGTACTATATTTTAGTTTGATAATGTTTTTTATAGAACTTTTTGTATTTTTAGGGGATTTCATGGCACTTGATCTATATTTAGTAGTTTATCCTGTTAACCACTTTTTGAGCATAGACCTGAAAACTAAATATTGAATGCTTTGGATCTTTGGATTTTGAAGACGACACTTGGCAGATTCTTGCTTAAAGGTGCACTAAGCAATATTTGAAAAAACACTTTTGACCACAGTGTCGGACCGAGTCCCAAAACACACTCATTCGGTAATTTTTTACCATGAAGAATACAGGTGTGCCTATTTTTTTTTTCTGGACCATTTAACATTTTCTAACCATGTCCATGATTTTGTGTTCACATAGCAAGCTCCAGAACCTTTACCAAGTTTTTTACCATTCCGATGAAGTAAAAAAAAAAACAATTCTCAAAAATCAAAGCATAAAATTTTTCGGTCAAAAATGACAGAAGAGAACCAGAGGGTTAAGGCCAGGTGGCGACCCTGAATACATATTTTTACATCAGCTTAACAGAAAATGCAACCCCGAATATCCTCAATAAGCTGAAAATAAGAATTTCAGCTGTACCACCCACTCGAAAGCGCTGAACCTGAAGTGACTCCAACTTCAACTTACCTGCGCTCTGGCTGCGGTTCTGACAAACACACACGCACAAATCCCGGATAACGTCGACACAGCTGCCAAAAAAGTAGCAGTCTTTAGATAACAATTCATGGACAGTAATAGCAAAATCTGCATTGTTTTGCAGATGTTTTGCGATTAGGCAAAAGCTGCGATTGTCATGCGCATCTTGTCAGGGAAGCAGGGTTCTGTGATCAGTAGTAAATCTCCATCCGAAGGCCAGCGGGCGCTCTCGCACGGAAACTCCAAATTAGGGCTGGGATAATAATAAAAAAAATTTTTTTTTTTAAATTCTCATATCAGTCGATATCGATAATTATCACGATGAAAATGTCAAATTTTATTTCTTTCAAGTTTAAAGGCAGATTTTTGCTCCAATGTGAAAGTTGTAAAAACCAGACAGTTAATTGTGGTTTTAAACTATTCTTTATGGTCAGAACACGACAAACACTTTGTTTTTGAAGTCTTTACACTTTTACAGTCATTTTTCCTTAAAATAAATATCTTAATAGAAAAAAAATAATTTCTTAGTTCTGCATGTTCTAATAAGTAATATTGTTTCAAATCAAGAAACTGGTTTGTGTTGCCTGATAATATTAAAATGTAACTTTTTTTTGTCTCTTAGAAATACACATTTGATAGTAGCTTGAGTTAGGATGCAGATGTAGATTTATGTTCATTATCAAAATCAGTAAAAATTGTAGCAATCTCATTTATATATGGTGAAATTTAACTTTTAATTAACTTTTAAATTTAACTGTTTGAGGTGTTTTTTTTAACCATTGGTCTTCCATAACACATTTAGATCATAATAATCACAGTTAAAACCTCAAATATAGCACCTCAATACCATGGTAAAAATGTGAAAAAAAATGTGAAATATGAAAAACGGTAGTCTAAATACATTTAGTATAAACGCTATAGGTTAATCACAAAAAAATACTATAATTAAATTCAATTACTTCTCCTCCAATACATTTAATACATGACTGTCTACATTAATAATGTAATTCGACATGAATACTTGTGCTGGTCCGAATACCATTTTTTGAGCTTCGAAGCTTCGGTAGTAATCAACACCGAATATTCTAAGCTTCGGAGGGAGGGGGCTGAACATATTCTTCTCTCTAATAAAGGCAGGAATCTCTGTGTGTGTCTGTCTGTCTGTTTGTTTGCATTTTTTGTATTATGTCGAGAACCGTTCATCCAATCGACTTCATGCATGGCGGGTGTGTTGCTGCGGACCCAAGGGAGTGCAGTGTCGCATTTTGGTGCAATATGGACACGCGACATGTTCAGAATTAATAAACTTTTAATAAATTACAGAACAGCGCGATCCGGAAGCGGCGCGCCTCACGCGGGCAGGGCTTACATGCTTCGAGAACGGACACTGCACTAGTGATACAAAACACACAGGTCTGTTAAGAGCAATACTTTTAATA